TTTAAAGCCAGTTTGTTTGTTATAAAGCAAATAGCCAATAAATAAATTTGCTTAAAAATCAGTATCAGAATCCAATTTGCTAGTAAAAAAAAGAAAATCTGAATTCTGAATCAGCTATGATCGGCGCATCACTAATTAAAATATTAAGTAAAAGGCCTCAAATTTGAAGTACAATCTGGGATGTCTTTTTCTATCAATTCTTCAATAGGTAGATCTTGTCTTTCATAAAGGCCGAGGTCAGGGATCTTGGGCCTAAAAAGGTTGGTGACCACTGCTCTAAAGGGACATAATAATGAACTAATGAAACATTTTTTTTTAAGTTTTTGTGTTCTTTCTCAAAATATTTGCATTCTCTCACAAAACTTTTGCATCTTTGCACCCTCTTGTAAAACTGTTGCGCTCCCCAGAGAAATTTTGCATTCACTTGCAAAAGCACTGAAATGTTTTTTTCCTCCCAACTATTATTTCCATCACTAAGGTTTTGAGAGAGAATGCAAATGTTTTGTGAGCTTACACCTTTGAAATATAATTCGTATAACCATATAACCATCTGGCAGAGTTCCAAAGTTTTTTAATAATATTATATAATATACATGGCTCATTCTATCTCAAGTGGTGCAGTTGGTTGCTTGACCATTTTTAATTACCCCCCACCCCCCCAGATATAATCACCCGAAAAGAGGAATTTTTAAAAAATGCATTTTCTTACACACCCTCGCTCTCCCATAAAAATAAAATTAAGTAATAAAATTACATTTCATTAAAAATCTGAAATGTTCTGCATGTACACTTAACCAGCATAGCCTTTTCCTTAATGGCCCAGTACCTGCAGTTTGGTGATGATTTCACTCTTTGTGACGTTGACCAGATCTGCATCCTCCACTGCAAATGCAGGAAAGGAGATGACAGAGAGCAGACCGGCATCTATCTCTTTAGAGGTGGAAGCTCGAGGTAGCATGGAGCACAAGATAGACTAGAAACACAATGAGAAACAAGATGCTTGACTCAGGAAATCATGGATAACTTTTATTGATTGAGAAAAAAATATATAATCTTAAATGTGAATCACTGACTTAAATACTAAAGAATAAACCTGGGCTGCATCTCCCAAAACCATTGTAAGCATAAGTAGATCGTACAGTATATACCAATGGTGCCAATGATGCTTTTCGGAAATGCAGCCCTGGTCTGTAAAATAATAACCAACTACGAAACACATTCAATTGATTCATTTACCTGACAATGTTCTACTTCATCTGGGAGAACATGAATCACTGATTTTGGGCCTCCATGAGCTCCAAACAAGTCAAGCTCATCAATGGCCTCCAAAGCTGCCTAACAATGTGAACAGCAAACAAAAATCAACTTCTGAATGATCGGAGTGACTAAACCAGACCAGATGCCTCTCCTACCTTAGCCATTCCAACAGAGCTGCCGTTTAGTTCAGGAATTCCTTGATTGGTTTTGTCTCCTCTCTCCCACATCCCATAATCCTGCAGGGGAGTGTGAGCTGTGATGCCAGTTCGGTAACTGTTAACTAAGAACGTGATAAACCAATGAGAACTTACAGCCACTTTGTACGCTGCCTCGATGTAGAAAACCAGGTTCTGGATAAACACCACCTCGTCCAAGTTAGATATGATATGTAGACCTGCGATGCAATTTCAATCATAATCAAAAAGGTTGCTAAAAAATAGGAAACCCCACAACACAACCAGCACAGTCTAAACTCCAATTCCATGGTGTTTACTTTGAGGCAAATCTGTGGTATCTATACTGTGGACTATTTTCACATATTCTGCTCTAGTTTTGGGGGAAAATCTATAGAATTGTGTGGAATGGAATTGCTAAACTGTACTAACTATGCTTTGTAGCTGAAAACATTTTTAAGTGTACCAAAGTAGTAAATAAACCAAGTCGTGAGTAATGTGGAGAACTTTGTGAATGATAGCCATTTCAATTTGGCAGAAATCTGCATAGTTTTCTGTTTTCTGAAAATCTCTGTAAGGACAGATTCTGTGGGGACCTGGCTATAAGTACACCTAAAAGTTATCAAATTTGTTTTTACCACATATACAAGTTTAAAATGTTCAGGCATTTTCAGGAAAATGGACCATTTTGATTACTATACAAATTTTTGTCCAATCAAATGTGTTCTAGAATAAAAAAAGCCCCTAAAACCTCCTGCATCTGACAAGCAACAGCAAACAGCAAATCATTTGATATCAGAAATCATAAAACCCACATGAGATTTCAAGGAAATCACAGGAAAGAAAACTGTGCTGGTCAAGAAATTTCAAGGGGTCTTTAAAGGGACAGTTAACCCAAAAATGAAAATCATTTATTCACCTTCATGTTTTTTGTTCCAAATAAGGAAAATGTCATAAGGTTTGGAATAACATAAGGGTGACTAAATAATTGAATGAACAAATTTTCATTTTTGGGTGAACTATCCAGTCTATAGATTGTTCGTCTCACCTGAGGCGGTCATCTGAGCCAATGTGAGCAGGTACAGTGAAGTGGCATCAACCTGCAGGTGCCCCCACTGATCATCTCCAACCACTGTGGCACAGGTAGGCGTGTGATATTTGGCATGCAGGCAGTCCTTTGTGCTCTGTGTGTGTTTGAACTTCTCTACCTTTGCCACCTGCAGTAATATATGCACATGCTTAGCCAGGCCAGAGAGCTGTGTTGTCAGCTCAAGAATGAATGAACTGATGAATAAATGAAAGAATAAAAACTATATAGCTGGGTTTAGAATAACAAATGAGCAAGACCATAGAGTTAAATGCCGTACCTGTCTCATCATACACTGCAGCAGCCCCTGCATTAGCTTAACCACACTCTGAAAAAAAAATGCTGTTAATAGTACAAGTATTGATTTCATCTGGAAAAAAACAAGCAGCACAATATTCTGGATACATTTAAACTTGCACACACAATTGCCAGACACAACTATATTTATGTAATATACTGTACACAAAGAGATTTTTTTTTAAAGAAATTAATACTTTTATTCGGTAAGGACGTACTAAACTGATCAAAATTTACAGTAAGCCTTTTATAATGATTTTTTTTTATTTTTGTAAGTTTGAAGGCTTTTTATTTCTTTTGAACTTTCCCCGAATACGATTTTTATTACAAAAATCGTACTGACTTCTAAAACTTTGAACAGTAGTGTGTATATACACGATTGCTTCAACTACACATAACAAAAGACTTTTGTTATGTGTAGTTGAAGCAATCATCCAACAACCTGTTACATTACTCAACGACAATGTGCTCCTGAACAATGCCACAACAGGTGGTGATGTTTTGAAGTTCCAGTCACCTGTTCAAGCTCGTAGGCTTTAGCTTTGTCTTCATCACGGTCTGCATTCTTGCGGTAAGCCATGCCGAGCCCCCACACTGCCAAGATGCTGTAAACATTATCTCTGACCCAGGCATCCTTCTGCTGCTCGCTAGCTGGCAGTAGACCTGTCACTGGATTCTATATGGAGAGGTCAAACCCATCTTCATTTATTCAAATATACACCATATAATTAAATACAAGCTTGATCCGATTTGTTATGCTAATTCTCACAACACTTACATATTTCATACGTTTTAGATGTTTTAAACATTAGTAACGTGCTGCGGAAATGTTAATTCATACAAATAAATAATAAAAAATCAAACCGATATGTTGATCATTTATTATTACTTATACAGTTTCTTGTGTTGTACATAAAGCATCAGCTCTACTTTTAAAGGAATTTACATGCTGCAGATAATACAAATATTTTCCTCACCCATGGGTTATTTAAAGGTGACCTTTGTTCAAGCTTTATTTATTTTTAGATTTCTCCTGTCAGAATGGCCCCAATGGTGCAGAATAATCTCAACCACAAGAAACTACTGTAGACAGAGGCCTATGTTTTTATTTGAGCTGGATTTATGTATATATATATAAACCTGGTATATATATATATATATATATATATATATATATATAAATAATAAAAATAATAAAATAAAGCAATATATTAGAAGACTTGTTTATCCTACATTTGATGACAGCTAAGCGACAATTTCATATCTTTTTACAAGTTTTAACAACTTTATTTTTGAAATTTATTTATTTTTCTGAATAAATTTATTTTTTCAACTATTTTATATTTTTATTTTTATTTATTTATTTTTTTTAATAATTCAGTTTGGCTTTACGAACAATTTAGATTGTTTAGAACAGATATTTGCAGAACACATTAGAATTAGAATAGATCAAAATATAGAATTATTAGAATAGATTAGTATATATTAATGTATATAATATAGATTAGAACATTGGAGTAAAATAGAATAGTATGGAATTATATAGTACCTCCGAACAGAATAATACATTATATATCGCTAAATAGAATAGAATATATAATAGAGCAGAACAGAAAAGAATGGAGTAGAAGAGAATAGCACGATATGTAGCACAGTAGAATAGAATAGAATAAAATAGAATTGTCGATCATGTTTTGAACAAACCTGGTGGCATAATATTGTTTCTTGGACAAGTCTGGCAAAACCATCCAACCTCACTCCTGAATTACTGCGGCTCCTCATGCTGTCATCTCTTTATGATCTTGACATAGAATTTATGAAGATATGAAAGAGAAAACCGTCTGCTTCCTGATCGATTAGAAGAGAGCATGCAACCAGATCTTTACTGTAACGTTAGCCTATTAGTGATTCATGATGACTAGCCAAGTCATGTCCGTCCGCAATGTTGTCCATACATTAACTACATTAAAAAAACGATTAAAATAAACAGGCCCACCATACAAGCAGGCTTTTCAAAATCAATAAACGTCCTTCTACCATTTTAAGGATCTGAATGAAAGCTCTGTATGTTCATTAAGCATTGCACATCCCGCCTGAATTCCGATGTTGACAGCAAACGAGAGCCCGCCCACATGATGACGTACGGCTGTTTAAGTGACAGGAAAACCCGGAAGTTCAGTAAGCCTTTCGCCAGCATCCATGGACGGACGGAAGATTTAGTTATTTTAAAACAGGCATTCCCTTTCTCAAGAGCTGGTTTAGGTTCTGAATGCTTTTTTCTAATAATTCATGCCTATTCCTCGTGCTAAGTGCTACCAAAACGTTAATTAAAACGTCTTGTTTTGGGTTTAAAAGGGAAAAGTCCGTGTAGGTTATCCGTTTGTCCGCCTACGGTATGTGCTCTGGACCAAACGCGATTTGTTTTCATGTAGAAGCTCGTCTTTTGATTGATTCACGATGAGTACATTAAAGTGCAATGGGGCATTGACCTTGAAAGCCAAAAGTAAAGTTTCTCTAGTTTTACAAGGCCATTGTGTTGTTAGGGAACAGTTTCATCAACATTGTTCATCTATATAAAAGTATGCTTTTAATTTTTACAACATAAGTGCCACATTTCTGATCTGTATATTTTCTTTTCAGAGACTTGAACCGATGACCAGAGTGACCTTAAACTTCATTATTTCTACTTTGACTCATGGACCAATCCAAAGTCCAAAAAATCAATTTGCATTTAGTGACGATAGCCCCCCAGGCCTGAATTTCTCACTATGTTTTTCAGTAAAAACAAAAACGACAGACGACTGCTTCTGTAATACATAATATAGAACAGAACAGAACAAAAATAATATACTAAAGTAGAACAACAGAATTAGGGTGGAGTGGAATAGAATTCTCATTCATTTTAAACAAACCTGGTGACATAATATTGCTTCTTAAACAAAAACCACAGACTCCTCGGGTGTGTTACCACAGCTTGTTTTATTGTACTAACATTTCTTTTGACAGCAAATATGGAAATCATCATTCAAGTGTCCAACAGCATGTCAAATATTCAAATGTTCCTTTTTGGTTCTTAGAATTAAGAGACTGATTGCGGTACTAATAATTATCCCATAATTATCCTGTACATTAAAATGTAGGTGTGAAGAAGCTTCTATATTTCACTGTAAGTAAATGTTAAATCTGAAACACGGGATTTCTAAGCATGTGTTGGCTCAAGAGTAAATGTGCTGTGGAAGGTGGCATAGATTTATTTTAGCTACTACAGGCCCTTTTTAAGTCGATGGTAATTTAAATTTAACAATGTTTTTAGACATAATTTTATCTTAAATGATACAGAATGAATGTGGCAAGTGTGCTTTTTCAAATTATTGTACCCCTGAATTAGTGCACTTTTTACTAATGTGCATCTGATAATGATATGCAGGAAAAACTCCAGTCTTACTCTGGTTTAGCACCTTGTGTATAGCAATACATAAAACAACAAATCTTTTCAGAATAAAAAATACAGAAAAAAAACTACAGTTGCAACTTTGTCAAAGTACACATTCAGTACATATTCTTTGGAGTGTTACTAATAACTTGGCCTCTTGGTTTACTGCAGTGTCTTCCTGTACCCAAAGCCCATCTCCACTGGTGAAATCATTGAGTTAAATCCAGTGGTTATCCTAAGCAGGATAACCTTTTTTACCTCTTTTACCACAATATAAGTGCATAAATTGCATAGATTTAGTGTAATAAAATGCATCAGTTCTACTCTAACCACTGTGCTGAATCCTATGACACACCAAACCCCCCTTTACAAAAAACCCACCAAACCTCTCAACAGATCCACCGAATAAATCGCTCAAAAAAGCTGGCTTTGTTCAGACTAGCAAAATCCTGACCCCTGAAAATGGCCGTCTGGTCTCCCAGCGAAAGCTTCGCTAGGATCTCCTTGTCAACATCGCTGCCCATGGCAATCACTGTGGGAACGCCCTCTGCTCTGCGCATCGCGCTAATGCCTTCCTCCAGGTTCTTGTTGCTGGTGACCCCATCAGTGATGAAGACGAATGCCAGCTCGGCATTTCGTCTAACCAATCGTGTGCCTCTGCTCGTGACAATGTTGTTGACGGCGTAGATAATACCACTGCCCACATTGGAAGTAGAATCCAGGTACCTCAAGTTGGCCAGGCCATCTGTGACGACAGTGAAGTTGTTGGTGAGTTTGAAGGCCAACTGATGTTGGTTTTCGTCACCATACTGCAGAAGAGCCACCCTGGCATTGCGTTCATCGTTGTCTCCCCGGGCGAGGGTCAGGCGGTTAGCGACGTTCTCCACGAACTCACGTGCATAGCGGAAATTCTCCTGACCCATGCGCTCCGAGCCATCCAGCATGAAGATGAGATCAACAGGCCGCTGGATGCAGTTGGCTACAGCTGGCTCTATAAGATACAAAAACAGCAATGATTGTCTTGGTTGACATGCTTGATTTGCTCCAGTGGAAATTTCCTGAATTAAAATAATGAATTGTGCAAAATAAATGTGTTCGTTTACAGAGGTTCATTTAAGAGCAAATAAACCTAACGAAAATAAACATTTCATTGCTAAAGATATTTATTTGTCAGAAATAATTCAAGTTGCATTTCTTGCAGTCCAAGAGCTTGCCATTTTTTCATTGCACATTTCTGATATACAGTATACATGTATAATACTTACTACTAAATATACATAATCTTGCATTACCAAGAAAAATCTCATTATTGTCTATTCTTAGTCCATTTTTCTTTCACTCACGGATAGTCAATATCAGGATGCTCATAGCTAATTCACATTGATAATGTATTTCCATTCAAAAAGATTCACTGAGATAATCATCAAACATAAATGGCCATTAACATTTATATAAGGAGGCTACAAAAAGTATTACTGAATTGCCGTTGTAGTGCATGAATGCTATTATATAGATATGTCAGATACTCTCTAAAGCTTTCTGTTGCCTAAATAGCAGATTAACTTTTGGGGGCAATTTAGAAAATAAATTTAACCAGAAAAAATATTGAACTATTTTTTAGGAATTAAACAATATGCTATAGCATTGGTAAAGCAGTTTATAAAAAATCTTTAATTTATCATACCAATTATTTGTGTAAAATATAGTGGGTATTTGAAAGTCGACCATGGTAAAGCAGCACTAAAAAGCTCCATTGACATTTCACTAACCTATGAGAAGCTACAGGCTTGTGACTTCAGCCTTAATGTGCAAAGTGCAAAACTGATATGAAATACAGTCTCAAAAGGAATTGTTCATTAATTTACAGATGCTTTAAAGGAATAGATCAAGCAAAAAAATTACAATTCAGTCATCATTATCTGGTTCTGTCATTCAAAACCTGTATGAATTTCTGATTTTTGATGTACTACTTTACAACACGTTTATGGAGTTTTTATTTCCTTTATTTCCTGATCACTCTATGTTTTCATTCTTAGGAAAAGATCGACATTTCCTTTTGTGTTCCTTTGAAGAAAGAAAGTCATACAAATTTGAACAATGTGAGTAAGTAAATGATGACAGAATTTAAATTTTTCATGTAAACTAACCCTTCATTTATCAGTTACCACTATCTTTGATATTCACAACACCAAAGCATTTATAAAAGATCAAAATGCCTACAAATCCTAGAAGCCTGAGGAATCAAGCAAAACAGGATAAGCTAACGAGAGCATGCTATGCAAGCAAAGTATCGAAAAATCTGTTCATCTATTCAAAATGTGTTCATTTCGCATATTTGAATGCAAAAAAAATGATTACAGAGCAGCAGGCATTGAGGTCAAGAGGCAAAGGTTGCCATTTCACAATTTTTGAAGCAGGGACTTGCTTTTAGCAGGGGCTAGCAAACAAATGTAAGTGGCTGATAACTGGCCATGATGTTAACTATTTTACATGCTATTTCTTGCCAATTAAATGTTACATCTTTAAGAGAGGTACTAGCAATGGCATTCGATTATTGTTAACGCAAATACTATATTCATGCATAGACCAGCTAGCTTTTTACTTAACAACTCTACAGTGAGGCCAAGTGTATTCTTTTAGTCAAGCTATCAGTTTGAATTTTTGGAAATGCCCAATCATGCTTTCTAACACAAGCCAAGAGCTTTGTTTGGGTCTCCCATCATATCAGAATAGATCACTCTAAATGAGTCAATGAACAGATCGGTCCATCTCTGTTTGTCAGGTTCAGAGGACAGTTTAGCCATCTGGGCTGCGTAAGCCAATATAGCTACAGCCTTGGTGTAGGTATCGGGGTGTTTGGCCTCTTGTAGATTGTTGAATAAGTTTGGGACGCTTAGTACAGTGGTTGGGATGGGACTGTCCTTCCACTCCTCTGCAAGGGCGTCATCTGCAAGTGAGTGTTGAAACAATAGTTTTAGGGCCCTCCTAGCAACTGGCTCTGCCTAGTTGCTGTTTTGATTGATTTTAGTTTTTGATTTGATATCTTTCGCATTGATCATTGTGCATTTTGCTGACACACTCATTTACACACCTTTGTTGTGATAATGTGACATTTCCCTTGAGAGACTGGGCTGGTTATCACACATAACAAGTGTATGATTAATATGCATAACATACATATGAGATGTATAACTCAACATATGTATAACATTTGTTATGTTTAATGAACCATTAATGTATAAAAAAATGACTTTTTATAAATACAGTATGTTGATCATTTACCTTGCAGATATAGACAGTTCTGTGGATTTTATATTATTTAGCAGAAACAAACATTATTATTATGACTTTAATAGGCCAAATACAACCTGATTTTTTTCTTTCTTTCTTTTTTTCTTTCTTTTTTTAATTAGTATGCTAGCTGTTATAGCTGACACAGCAACTATTAGTGTCATCTAATAATTGGCCATGAACAATAATGTATGCAGTGTTGTTATCGGTAACTAAAAGTGAAAAATAATTTTCGGTAATTGAAATAGAGTGAAATAAAAATTAGATGAAAAACTTAAAAAATTAAATTTGAAAATGTTGCCTTAACAAATAACTGAAATAAATATGTATGTTGAAGTACTAAAATAACTCAAACAAAAATTAAAAAATAAATTAAAGTTTAATATAAATATTAAAAACACAAAAACTAATAAAATGACAAAAGTGCATAACATGACTAAAACAAAAAATTAAAACTGAAAACATAAAAATAAAAGCTACAGTAATTCAAAATATGAATGAATACTATAATTGTATATAAATAATACTAAAATAACACTGACTGTATGCATTGTATAGAGTATTTTCCCCCTATTTAAATCCATTTAAACCCTGTGAAAAAAGAAAATTATAAAAAGATTGCAGTTATGTAAAGAAAATAATACAAATAATAAATATATGTATTTTACTGTATAAATTAAGTTAACTGAAAGAAAAAGATTCAGAATGTTTTTTCAGCAATTAGGAGAGTTAATCATACACATCTTTGTGTATATGAACAACAACACTTACCACTTTTACATGGAAGATCAGGGCAAACGATCACTGGATCTAAAACAAAGAAAATAAAAGTAATTAAAAGACAATCATTTCTGGATATCAAGACAGCAAGCTAAAACCATAGTAAAGTCAGGGCAGGACTCACCTGGGCAGAGTACAGTCTCAATCCTATCGATGAAATCCTCTGCAACCAGATCAGCGAAACGCCTCATTCCCATGACTCTTCCATCTTTTCTGCAAGCAATGGACTTGAGGCTTTCGTTCTCCTCTGGCTGGTCAAACATGTCACCAATACCAATGGCATTCACGTCAATGTTGGTGTCTGTGCAGAGGTAATTGAGCAGTTTGTCGTCATCACGAGGGTCGTACCGGCCGTCTGTGATCACAACCACCGTCACATTAGCCTTCGCACGACGGCTATCGCGAATCAGGTTATCGTAGGCGAACTTCAGGGCAGAAGGCGTCCACGTTCCTCCAGCGATCCACTCAAGCTTCTTCACGGCGTTTTTGAAGGCGGACATTGAGTCGATCTTGGAGTCGTTGAGGCGAATGGCCTGGAATGTTCCATTGTGACTGTACTGGACAACGCCGACTCGAGTCCCTGAGATATTTATCAAACACAGATTTTGTTAGATTACATCAAACCACTTCTGCATTGCTACTTAAAGTAAGCTAATTCGGATTTTTTTTCCAAAGAGATTCCAAAACAAGCATAAAAAAAAACAATTTGGACTACAATTTGACATTTTCTAAAGTAAATATGAATGGTGCTTGCCCATGCAAACGTTGGCCCTTCAATGTTTTTTTATTTTTTTTTTACCTGTTTCAGAACTGGGATCTTTTGCTATTGAGCCCAGTCTGTTGATGGTGTTGATCACGAAGTTCTTCTCAAGGGTGAAGTTGGTCAACCCCACACTTTCAGAGCTGTCAATCACAAACACAATATCCAGGGCACCGCATCTCTTTTCACAATCTGAAACAGACAAGAACATTCAGTGAATATACTGTAGCAATCCATTTATTTTTACTGCAAATTTACAGTATGAGAATCTTACCACAGCATCCACAGGTCTCTCTGATGTAGTTCATGACATCACATTCCTGAGGAAATAATATAGTATATATTCAACATTTTTCCATTAAGTAATTTTGAGCAATTTAATTACTTAATGCTTACAGTAAGGCCAGGGTCTCCCTCTGGTCCAGGGTCACCCTGTTACGGACACAGTTTGAAATCATTTAATAAAAAGTTCACTTAAATTGCATGCATTCAGACCTTGGTTTATTGTTACCATTTACTATTGTTTAAGCACTTTTCAACGATATATTCAAAATAAATTAAATATCCCAAACGGAGGGCTGGGCAATATAGACAAAAATATTGTTTTCTATATCAACCATATCAATATTTATTTCCATATCATATGATATCACAATATTTACCATTAATGGCAAAGGAAATGCTTTCCACATGTTTGTTAGATCTTGAGAATCAATGTAAACATAACTTGTTTGTGCAGAATCATAATTAAACTCCACAGATTTAGCTACATTTTAATTTAGATCCCTATTAAAACCAATTTATTGAATTTTTTCCCTAAATTATGTGTTTTCCATTATAAAATGCTATAAATAAAAAATAGAAGACTATATATCTCTTTCACATAGTACATTATTTTTCAGTGTCTGCAGTCTCAATATATGAAGACATGAACATCTTCAGAGCTGCTCCAAAAGTCCGAGATTATGTGTATGTGTGTGTGTGTGTGCATTTATGTATTCAACAAACGCCTCATTCCCATGACTCTTCCATCTTTTCTGCAAGCAATGGACTTGAGGCTTTCGTTCTCCTCTGGCTGGTCAAACATGTCACCAATACCAATGGCATTCACGTCAATGTTGGTGTCTGTGCAGAGGTAATTGAGCAGTTTGTCGTCATCACGAGGGTCGTACCGGCCGTCTGTGATCACAACCACCGTCACATTAGCCTTCGCACGACGGCTATCGCGAATCAGGTTATCGTAGGCGAACTTCAGGGCAGAAGGCGTCCACGTTCCTCCAGCGATCCACTCAAGCTTCTTCACGGCGTTTTTGAAGGCGGACATTGAGTCGATCTTGGAGTCGTTGAGGCGAATGGCCTGGAATGTTCCATTGTGACTGTACTGGACAACGCCGACTCGAGTCCCTGAGATATTTATCAAACACAGATTTTGTTAGATTACATCAAACCACTTCTGCATTGCTACTTAAAGTAAGCTAATTCGGATTTTTTTTCCAAAGAGATTCCAAAACAAGCATAAAAAAAAACAATTTGGACTACAATTTGACATTTTCTAAAGTAAATATGAATGGTGCTTGCCCATGCAAACGTTGGCCCTTCAATGTTTTTTTATTTTTTTTTTACCTGTTTCAGAACTGGGATCTTTTGCTATTGAGCCCAGTCTGTTGATGGTGTTGATCACGAAGTTCTTCTCAAGGGTGAAGTTGGTCAACCCCACACTTTCAGAGCTGTCAATCACAAACACAATGTCCAGGGCACCACATCTCTTTTCACAGTCTGAAACAGACAAGAACATTTACTGAATATAATGCAGCGATACATTTATTTTTATGATGAGAATCTCAGTATGAGAATCTTACCACAGCATCCACAGGTCTCTCTGATGTAGTTCATGACATCACATTCCTGAGGAAATAATATAGTATATATTCAACATTTTTCCATTAAGTAATTTTGAGCAATTTAATTACTTAATGCTTACAGTAAGGCCAGGGTCTCCCTCTGGTCCGGGGTCACCCTGTTAAGGACACAATTTGAAATCATTTAATAAAAAATTCACTTAAATCGCACTGCCAAACATTCAGAACTTGGTTTAATGTTACCATTTACTGTTGTTTAAGGACTTTTCTATGGCCAAATAAATGAAATATCCCAAATGTAGGGCTGGGCCAAAAATATTTTTTCCATATCAACGATATCATGATATTCATTTACCATTAATGGTGAAGGAAATGCTTTCCACATGTTTGTTAGATCTTGAGAATCAATGTAAACATAACTTGTTTGTGCAGAATCATAATTAAACTCCACAGATTTAGCTACATTTTAATTTAGATCCCTATTAAAACCAATTTATTGAATTTTTTCCCTAAATTATGTGTTTTCCATTATAAAATGCTATAAATAAAAAATAGAAGACTATATATCTCTTTCACATAGTACATTATTTTTCAGTGTCTGCAGTCTCAATATATGAAGACATGAACATCTTCAGAGCTGCTCCAAAAGTCCGAGATTATGTGTATGTGTGTGTGTGTGTGCATTTATGTATTCAACAGTATTTTTTCTTAAATGAAATTGTGAAATGAAGCGACTCTCGGAGCAGCTCTGGAGATGTGAACATGTCTTCATATATTGAGACTGAAGACTGAAAATTGATATACTAGATGAAAGAGAACAAGCCGGCTTATTAGCAACATGCACTGACTGACTATTGTTGCTCTTATTTCTGCTGTGTGATAGACTGTTAGATTAATCCATATCAAGAGCTTATCATCGTTAGACATCAATTTTATTGCGATCTTGATATGATATAGTTTATCACCCAGCCCTACCCAAACACCATTTTAACATTAATATGCACTAAAAATTAAACTTGCATCTCTTCCTGGGTCTCCTCTAGGCCCCCTTCGTCCAGGTTCTCCTGAAGGCCCGGGCTCTCCCTGAAACACAATGAAAAAATATGATCACATTATGAAAGTAAGACTGGTTGCAAATGGCATTTCATTTTGATTTTATAAAAAACTTCTGAACAGTAAACATGCAACAAAAATGAGTCAATTTGCTAACCGACTCTCCAGGAGTTCCCTTTGGACCTGGGCCGCCCTTTGGTCCACAGTCTCCTCTACTTCCCCTGGGACCAGGTGCACCTTTATCACCCCTGTCACCCTGTTAAACACATATTTATTATATTTATTTGTAAAATATAAAATATAATGTGATCTAAAGCTCTGTAAATTGAAATTTCTTTCAGTACAAGTACAAATTTAACTCATTACGGTACCGTAGGTCCCCTTGGTCCAGGATAGCTGAATCCAGGTCTGCCAGAATCACCCTTCGGCAAAAGAATCAGTATATTGTATTTACAACAGACATGCAAGCATTGATTTTAAAACCATCAGATTTTTTGCGTGTGAAGTACCTTTGGTCCTAGAGAGCCAGGATCACCTCTAGGGCCAGAATCACCTGCGTCACCTTGGGAACCCTATAATAGATATAACATGTTCTTTGCTGGCTGTTCATCCAGCTAAATAAGTTCAGCATCTGACGTAAGCAGTGAGACAAAAAGGCAGCTGTTTTTGGTTTTGGACATTTTCAGCCAGTTTGTACTGTGAAATGGCTGACAAATATGACATTTAGCAAGATTTTGTCATTTTTACATTTCTGCCTGGTTCTCCAGGACCTCCTGGTGGGCCTCTTGGTCCTGGAAGTCCGTTATCACCCTGAAAGTTAGTAACAAAAGCCAGAAAAATATTTATGTTTTCATTTATATTTATCATAAAACCAATAAAAATCAATTTTCAACAATGACCTGTGTTTAAGCAGCCAAATCAGTGACTCTTACCTTGGATCCCTTGTTGCCAACTTCGCCCGAAAGACCCCTGGGTCCCTCAGAACCTGGTTCACCCTGTCAAACATTATAAATATTTTAATCAATCAGGACATTGTTAAAATAATTGTTAAATAACATAGTCTCCCCTCATGCAATCTGAGTTTACAATAAAATAAGAGCCACTTACTAAGCACCTTTTTTAATTGATAACTGAGAACCAATTCTTTGTAAAGTTATAATTTTCGGTGAACCCAACACTGACCTTTTCTCCTTTTGGCCCATTATTTCCGGTGCTGCCTTTAGGCCCAAAGTCTCCTCGTCTTCCCTAAAAATACAATGGTAAATATCACCAAAAGTTAATCTACTGTAGCGTTACAAGGGGAATATAACAGGAAAAGAATTCCTCACAAGGTCGCCTTTAGGTCCAGGTCCTCCAGCTGTACCCTATAAAACAAAACAAAGTTCTCTTTAACATCATCTCTAATTTACAATGTTAAAATAACAATAATGACCATAATTAAAACAAATACATACAGCAGATCCTTTCTGGCCAGGAATTCCAGGTGTTCCTGAACTTCCTATCTCTCCCTGTAGGGGGTGTCAGAGAGCATATTACAATATTATTGATAACTAATGTTAGTGTAATCTCTGTAGTTATGAAATCTTACTTTGGGTCCAGGATCTCCAGCTGGCCCAAGTGGACCTGGTCTTCCTGGACGACCTGGATCGCCCTGAGAAGAAAGTGAGGAACCATGACACCTCAAACCACAATGCCTAATGGCTTTTACGTAAATGCCAATTTTTCTTTTCTCTGCAATTTCTCAGGTACCTTTTCTCCCAGAGCCCCCGCAAGACCAGGTTCTCCAACATCTCCAGGGTAGCCATCAGGACCCTGTAAAAGGCACATTCATCTGTTAATGGACTTGCATAATACCAGTATCTGTTCCCCAAATGAAAAAGACTCACACCTTGTCGCCGGGGTCACCTTTGCAGCCAGGAGCGCCGATCCTGCCAATTTTTCCCTGTTAAAAAATAGTCAGTTTTATTACATTTTAATATTTTTATTATTTATTTGAATTTTTTGCTATCCACACTTCACTACCCCACATTTACTATTACTTACCTTCTGCCCATCTGTTCCATTTCGGCCCAGTATTCCTGCAACACCCTGTTAGACAAATACTTTTTTTATATATATAAATATTTCAAAATAGATGCAGCATGAAAGATTCTGTAAACAGAGAACATATAAAATGATAAGCAAACAGTCTTACCTTCTTCCCTTGTGCTCCAATTTCTCCCTAAAAACAGATAATTTGCATGTAACATTTTTGGTGCATTATCAATAAGTCAACCATATTTATTAGATCTTACAGATAACATTGAGAAAATCATACCTTTTCACCTCTGAGACCAGGCTCTCCCTAAATGAGAATAAACAGTAGAGTGGTTACAAACAGTAATCTGGAAAAATCAAGTGCAATAAGTTTAATGACAGCTAATTAGATGTACACAGAAACTGAAATGAAATGCTTGAAGTGAACTGAGCATTTAACACAATATTTACTTAAAAATCACAAACAAGACAGAAAAAATCTAATTATATATTGCTTCCTTCTAGTAATCAGCCAAGCAAAAACATTTATCAGTTAAAGCAGATAATCTAAAAATAGCCAAACATATGCAGAATAATTGGTCTGATCAATACATATTGGTTTATGATTAGGCATTTAATCACACCTGAGGAATGTGAAGAACTTACTTTAGGTCCAGGATGTCCAATGGGTCCCTCAATACCTGGATCTCCCTGTAGGTTTTGACATGAGTTAATACAAATAGTACTGGTGTGTGAGCCTCACTGAATACGCATTAGATTTAGTACAGTCTTTGGTTGAAATGCAGTGTTTTACCAAATGCATTCAATAGAACTGGTTTGTACTCACAGGACGTCCTCTTTGACCTTTAAGACCGGGGTCGCCATTATCGCCTTTAGCTCCCTGTAATAATCAAGACGTTAGATCAAGTGTTAAGCAGAAAGAAAAATAGAGTGAAATTACTTGATAGTTAACATTTCTGTCAGTGCTGTCTTTTTAAACCCAATTTTTTTTTTTAAGATACTCACTTTCTGTCCCCTGAGTCCTGGTGGACCCGGAGGTCCTGGAGTCTCCAGACATTTTGTAGAGTAGCACTGGAAAATAATGATGAAATTGAATTAGAAAACATTGTAATGTAAAAAAAAGTTGGAAAAAGGTTCTTCAGACTTTAAAAAATGTAGGTTAAAAAAATTGGTTCTTTGAAGAACTATTCACTGAAAGGTGAAAAAATGGTTCTTCTGTTTCAATGCTGAAAAAAAAAAACTCCTTTCGTTTTTTGGCAAGGCAAGGCAAATTTCATTTATAGAGCACAAGTTTAACATAACCATAGTTGATACAAAGTGCTTTACAATAAAAATACATCAGAATTTAAAAGATAAAAAGAGGGGAGAAGTATAAAAAAAAAGTATCAAAAACAATTAAAATGTATATCACTGATTCTTGAGACATGGGACAAAACATGTCCAGCAATTGTAACTGGTATTAGGTTTAAAAATGAAAATATTTTTAAAGGGCTCCTATTATGCTTTTTCACTTTTTCAACTTTAGTTAGTCTGTAATATTGCTGTTTGAGCATAAAAAAGATCTGCGAATTTACAAAGCTCAAAGCCCAATTCAAAAGGATATTTTATTTAACAGAAATCACTTTTCAAAAACTACAACGAACGACTCGTTTGGACTACAATGCATAATTTCCGGGATTTGTGATATCACAAATATTGACGAATGGGATGAGACCTGGTTGAGCTGCGCTAGAGAAGGCAACGAGAGTTATCACTATGTCGGAGACACGCTAGCTTTCCCAAGGCAGACGAACTTAGAGTGGTTACAATCATCCGGGTTTAAATCGCGCTCAAAGCAACATTTACACTGAAGCTAGCAGGCGGCTATGGTAAGGGGCCCAACACACACTGGCCCAGCTAACCAATCACAGCATATTTCATATTTCAGAAGGCGGGCCTTCATTTGATACAGGAACTATTCGAGCCGTTCATGCCAGACTGGGGAGAGAGTAATAATGTAAAATATGTGAAAAAATTATGTTTTTCGAACAACCTAGTATGAGAGCCTGTTCTAGTACACCCCCAAAACAAAATCAAGACTTTGTAAAAGAGCATAATAGGACCCCTTTAAGTGAAAATGTTATGGGGGATTAATGTATTTAACACAATTATCCCCTTCAGTTTAATTTGTTCATTATTATATCAAATCTATGACACTTATTGTCTTCTCACTACATCTAAAACTGTGTGTCCACAGAGAAGGGTTCAATCATCCATATGCTATAAAATGGATAAAAATGTTTTTAATGATGGAAAAGAGCTTGTTTTATCAAAGGCAACACTTAGTAATATCTCATATCAAAGCCAGGGTTTTTTTCAATGACAAATGTGTGTTTCATAAGGTTTCAAAATTGTGTCCCCACTTTTTGTCAACACCGTCAGACATTCAATAAAAAAAAATCAGGGAATAAGAGGGCCAGCTGTCACTCTAATGGACCCCCTTGCCACATTCCACCTCTGCAGAGTACATCAGTATCAGGCTCTGGTAAGTTTTATAGTTTTAGAATATTTTAAATCCTAATGTTAATATTTCCAGTGTTAGATAATTATATTCTCCTGAAGCAGGTTCTATTAGCATCTAGCATCAACAGAAAAACAAAATGGTTACTACATGATCTCCATTTGTTTTGTGAAAGGAATGCCAAATTTGTCAACACCGTCAGATGTCACCACCGTAAGATTTTCTGTCTGACGGTGGTGACGGGCCAATGACGGAGTTGACATTCAATGTGAAGTCATCATATTTTTGTGGTTTTCAAGTCATTTTTAATTATATTAAATATAAAATAGTGTTTAATACTAAATACTAATACTAAAATACTAAATATGTGACCTGACAGCATAGGTTTGCTAGTAGCAGCAGCTTATTTGTCATCCAGGTCTTGACTTCATTAAGGCATAAAAAGGATGATCTAATGAAGAGTCCTTTCCTGGTTTGATTGGAAGATATAGCTGGAGGTCGTCAGCGAAACAATGAAAATGTATGTTATGTTTCTGGAGTATTGAGCTTAAAGGGAGCATGTGGAGGGAAAACAAAAGAGGGCCAAGAATGGATCCCTGTGGAACACCACAATGGATAGGCGCAGTATACTTTAGTGAGAGCTCTGAGGAAAGTGATGCAACATGTTGGCACCCAATGAAAAAAAAATCATTGAAATCAATAGATGGCAGTACACTGATATGGATCTCACCTCTTGATAAGCCAGATGAAGCTGTAAGAAAGAACAAGACCAAAGAAAGATTATTATAATAATAGCTCTTAACTCACAACAAATATGAATGAAGTACTAAATAGTGTCTTCGTCATTAAATACATTTTAGGGTATTGTGCCACTGCATATCCAAAAGAAAAGTATTAAAAACATTGCATTACCATTGTGTCATAAATGCGATCGATTGTTGATTGCACTATGAGTGGCCGCACTCCCGCAAGATCAACCGCCATATATTTGTTACGATAAACTCCAGCAGGTGAGTTAGCGATCTCCCTGAGTCCCGTCTCCTCTAGGTTCCTGGATGATGCGACAGAGAAGATCTTAATAAATTTGTCACGTGCTCGTTCTGCCGCCACTTTGATCCCACCACATGGGTTTCCTGTCACGTGACCATCGGTGATTACCACCGCAAAGCGTTTGGCATTGGGTTTGGACGGCGAGCGGACCAGTTGCTGGGTCATGTTGGTGATGGCGCAGTCAATGTATGTGCCCTTGCCCAGGTAATTTATTTTTAGGAGCTTAGTGATGAACTCATCTTTACTGGTGATGGCACTGATGATCTCCTGCCGCTGGGAGAAGTGAAGGCCTCCTACAGACCAGCTGATCTGAACTAAACCTTTGTAGTTAACCTTTTCTAGTTTCTTAGCAAAAGCGGCGGTGAACTTTTTGATGCTCTCTACCAAGCTGCCAGGTGGGTTCTCCTGCAGAGCTATGGTCTCAGATGTGTCGATGACAAAGTACAAGTCGATTGGGCATTCAGTTGTTTCTGGAGAAAGAGAGAACACATACAGCGAATTAAGTCACTAAAACAACATAAAATAATATTAAATAATCTTTATATTTCTTAAAATAATACACTACCATTCAAAAGTACGGGGTAAGTAATTTCTTTTTCTTTAAAGAAATAAAATAAAATTAAACGAAACTAGTCACAAGAAGTGACAGCAAATGCATTAATAATAGTACAAAAATATATTTTAAATAAATGCTTTTTTACTTTCTGTTTATCAAGGAATCTCAAAAAATGTCATTAAGGTTTTTTTAATGAAATTACAAACTTGTATTCAGTAATTACGCATTAAATTGGTCATAAGTGACAATAAAGACATTTTAATGGGGTAAGAAAATATGTGAATGTGATTTTTTTTATTGATTTATTTTATTCTTGTGATGGCAAAGCATTTGAGCGTCATTACTCTAGTCTTCAGTGTCACATGATCCTTCAGAAATCATTTTAATATGCTTATTTAATGTTCAAGAAACATTTCTTAATATTATCAATCTTGTGTTGCTTAATATTTTTGTGAAAACCTTTTTTTTTTAAGTCCAAAATAACAGCATTTATTTGAAATATAAATCTTTTGTAACATTATGAATGTTTTTACTGCCACTTTTGATCAGTTGAATGCACCCATCCATATTTTTAAATAAAACACGTGTAATGAATAATGCATTCATAGAATACTACAGAATAATCGGTTACTGAAATAAGCGTTTCCTCACTTGTGCAGGGAGTCTGGCTGGCTGGAATCTGGCCCTGTGTGTGAACGCCCAGAAACAACAGGAGGAGGATCGATAGTCTCATCATCCTCATTCTCCTTCCTAAACACACAAACAAACAGGATGTGTTGACCATGATCACAACACAACACGCTCAGAATCTCTGCCCATCTGTGGACATTTGTTATATTCTAGCAGGCCAATTACATTTACAAAACATCAGAAATTTTGCAAGAAAGCAAAACATGTCTCTCCAGTGCCAGAATTTGGGGAATGTGACTATTTACCACTTTAAATTACTCTAATGCACAATCATAAAATGACTATCAGTAAAACTGCATAAATTGAGTTTCACAGAATCCCAGTTGCATTATCCATCTAACAAGGGGCATAGAAACTGCTAAACTGGTAAAAAAAAAGATTAAAATAAGACAATATTTCATTAATTAAGATCACAAATTATTATTGAATTTGTGTCAAATATATTATAGCAATGCCCTTGAAAATGTTCAAAGAGTTAACTGTCAAATGGAAACATTTGGACTGAATTGGCCACACCCATAAGCAGTTGAACTGAACAATGAAGGATAGGAATTCAAGAGGCAATGGCATTCTGGGAAATGAAGTGTTATGCCACTTTGGTCCATAAATCTGTCTGTAGGGCCTTTGGATTCATTATTATTATTTTACACTTCCTTAACTTCAAATTTAAATTTCAGTTCTAGCTCCTGTTTGCCTCCTCAATTCAAATTCACCACAAATTCAATTCTGAATGCCACAAAACCTTACTATATACGTCATACAAACTAATTCCATAGATTTTTAGGCATATCTATAATACAGTTTTTTTTATGTCAGTCTTGAAATTAGCTACTTTTGTAGTCACGTTAAATTAACCATGGTTTTATTGTAGTAAAAATGTAGTAACCATGTTTTTTTGGCACATTGATTACCATTTGTATAACCACAGTTTTACTATAAATACCATGGTTAAACTATGGTTAGTCTAGCAAAACCATGGTTAATTTGTGGTTACCATGGTTTAACTATAGTTACCATGGTTTTTTGGTTTTATTTGTAGTAAAACCATGGTTATTTTTCGTAAGGGTTCATTTGTTTACAATATGTATAAATACTACTGGAGCCAGAGATTCATCCACCGTCTGTAGAATAAGAGCTTGTCTTGATTCTGAATGTTATTGGATGGCAATAAAGTTGCTCAGTTTGTAGTTTTAAAACCCAGAAAAAATAGCATTTTGTTTCATGAAATCCAATGGCTTTTTACAATGGAGTTTTAACATTTGAGTAAAATAAGGGCGTGGTCAACGTTACCTGAAAAGACTTTCTTGTTTTGTCTTACAGCATAAATTACACAGTTCTATTTCAAACTTCAATTTTGAAGATTTTTTATGCAAGTTGTTAACAAGTTGCTAAATAAATACTGACTACAACAACCACAAAGATGTGCGTTTGCATGCTTGACGAATCAGACAACCATTCCTCAAATCAAATCAAAGTTTGTAATGTTGTCATTCACCTCATAGCTGGTTGGATTGGTTCACGTCTTATAACTCTTAAGTTATAAAATTATAAAGTGTTTTAACTATAAAGCCTTTCTCAAATGTTTTAAAATCTCTCTGAGAAAAGTGAATGGGAATTACTCGTTGTGAACTACTTGTACTTCCGGGACCAAGGCAACTGGAAAAAAATGGGCAGTCGCTCTATTAACTTGAAATAAGGGTGTGGCCTACTTGCCCGGAAGTTGTTTCTAATTGTTCAGATACAGTAAGTCTCTATAATAATAATAATAATATAATAATTTACTTTTCACTATGTAGTATTAATGGAATTAATAACGTTTCTCAATGTCATTATTCATGTGTGAATTATTGTACAGACTGCTGCTAAAGCACCATACAGATGCAACTGTTAATTTTCACAGCATTGGTCAAGATGGACCAGTCACAGCCCTCATGATTACTGTATATAGATAGATTGCTGGGGATTTTCATCCATATGTCAGATATCAATCACTGGAATTAACAAATTTAAACAATTGCACCATTTAGTATATCAAATGTGTCCAATAAAACAAAAGTCACTCAAAGTGACTTTCTGAGCCCCCAGCCGTCCCCTAAAGTAAGACAACTTTTGTCTCAGAGGAGACAGTTATTTGTTGCTCATTCTAAATAGATAATCTGATCAACTAATCTGAGGTCATATTCTCTTTGTTCCTGATCTCAGTTTGTCTGATGCCAAATAATACTAACATTTAACTCATTACTACTGAACTGTCAAAGCATTTTCAGTTAAACTACCTGATTCATCTGAGACAATCCTCAATAATTAGTAAAGTTTTACTAGCATTTTGTATTTGAAACCATTATCTCATGCCTTCATGTTTATTAAAATTAGCTGATCTGATATATGCATGCTGTTAAATACTGCAACAAATCAGAAATATGGCCTTTTGCCACAAACGCCTTACATTCAATCAGCACAGGTGATCCAATGACATGACTAATTACTAATAATTATAATGCACATATTATTTAAAAAATGTTTTGTTATTTTACATTTGATTACATTAGGTA